CGTCGCGTGGCATAATCCAAACTTTCAACTTTCAACACCACACAGACTTTGGCGAAACACTATGTCCATGTCAATAGTGTCTTGTCCGCTACAGAGACTCCGAATGATAACGGTGATTTACCATTGCTGTATGCAATACCGTTTACATACCGTTCTGTAACCAACACCATTTAGCAAATTATTATAGCGCTCGCCAAAGGAGTTTTGCTCGCGTAGAGACAGACAAAGGTCGTGCAGGGGCAGCACACGTCGCTTGCGGGAACGTAGACTACCATTAATTTGTAAATTTTGTGGACGGCCGCGAATAATCAGGGTCACGCCGAATATATACAGTGTGTTAGTACTTAAATCGACGACGCCCCGAATATAAGTACACCCGCGAATATAGGCTTTTAATGGCACACCATTCATACCCGTTATATTGCAGAAAGTGTTTGATAGTTATGTCCGAATTTAAGTCGGTATCGTAGTTTATTTAGTCCGTTTTTACGTACTTCCAATGTACTACATGGACTCGACGTCTCCGACGTGGTCGTCGAACGTCGCAACCCCGACAACCTCCGGTCTTCGTCGGTGTCGGGCACACGACCCCATTCGGTCTGTCCTACACCCAAACGGGGGCTGGAAACCGCCGGGCGCCGGGCCGGGGGGAAAGTCTGACTGGCCTCGCGACGTGACAACGTGACCACCGTTTCTGGCCGCAGACCGACGTCCCCACGGCGGTCGTGAGTCCGGACTGGTCGTCAGGACTACAGCCAGTTGGTCTCCTGAGGTCTGGCCGACGGTCCGACCGTCGACCTCCGGTGACATTCCCTCCCTCTCTCACCGCCCGTCCATATACTCCTCTTCCCTCCTTACTTCTCTCTCCCTTCGTACATAATGTTTATTGTGTTATCTTCCTATAACATAAGAGTTTTATAAGTTTATTAGAAGTGTAGAAGTTGATTTTTACATTTACCTCTTTTATAAAATCCTCTCTAGGACGCGATACTATAGAGTGGATGTGAATCGAACGTGAAAACTTTATCGGTCAGAATAATTCACTATTTGTTCCTTCTCCAACGTCTTATAAAATAGTCGTGTAGTTGTGTTCACTTTATGTGAATGTCATGGGAACTCGTTGAGTAAACACAGATTGTCTTAACCTGGTTAAGGGTATAACTTAATATAAGTAAAACCACGTAATCTTGGTGAAAAGATATGATAGTACCGTAGAAACGGGTCCAACATGAAATTTTAGAATCTTCATTTTATTCAACCATGTTTCCATCGGTCTTTCTGGTCATATATATTAGACCTTAACGATCAAGTCAGGTTGCACGTCCTCTGTGTAATGTTTCGAGGTGTCCGTCCAGATAATGTTTGTGGCTCCGGGTCCGTCACACATCCGTACACCAGAACACAACTACAGTTCACAATACTGTGCTGTCGTCCCTGTCCCGAGAGCTACTGGTACCAGGACCGGTCCGTCGGTGGACCGACGTGCGGGCGAGTGGGAGGAGTCGCGGTATGGGCCAGTACCTCCAAGACCTCCCGGCCGGCGGCGACGAGGCGGCTCACCAAGTGACAGGCTATCTCTGCGAGAATCAGGTGGGCTCCGAGACGGTCGGATTGTGTTGTCGTGTCTGTCTTCCGAATTCTCCTACAACGTTCTGAACTCCAAGATGCTGAATAATCGAGATATAGACGTTAAATCTTATTAAGGTAAAAAAACGATCTCTCTCGCAAACACAGCCGATTGAAGAAGTGAACGTGGTGAATCACCCTCTAGAAGAATGTGGATAACGTCGTCCCCCCCCCCAGAAGAAGGTACGACACCACCGACAGTGGGTACCGTTGTCTTGAGGTCTCCAGCGACAGGACCTTTGACCTGTCGGAGACCCCTGCTAGAAGGCGAGTGACTCGTGGGATTACCAGGCTGGTGTCTCGAGTTGTGAGGGCAGAGGAGGCAGTCCGAAGATAGAAGCAGTTGCCAAGTTGCGTAGGGAGTCAGAGACATCGCCCGTGCCGTCCCCAGTTTATATCTTAAAATGTGTTTTCGGTTCGTTTTCCAGACACATAATGACGTGTCTGTAACCTAAAACTAAGTCACAACTGTAAAATTTTAGCTGTGTAATGAGAAGTCATCTGCTGAAGGACGAAGGGCGTCCTCCCCCAGTCCTCGAACAGGGATATGGACAACTGTACAGTTCTCTTCTAATGGATACTGTTAAGTAGTCTAAGTACAATTTTATATTGGTTTACAGACTCTAAAGTTGTACTGTTTTGTACAGCATGTCTACATGGTCATGTACATACAAAGGTCTTGGTTTCCCTTAATTTCGAAAATTTTCAGCCAGACCTCTCACAGGCAGGAGGTTTAGTGTTAGTTTTTTTATATTATGTATGTTGTTGTTCTCTCTGCGTGATTAGTTATCAACCAGTCTAGGTATATTGCGCTCACGATTGCAGCGAAACGATTTTGCTGTTAACGGTAACGCTAACTCGCGACGCAAAGGCCGCAGAAGAAAGGATCGGTAAAACCCCACACAACCTGTCGTGACAATCTTTAAAATTCTTTGGACTGAAAGAGGTCCTTCGTGAACACGTTGTCGAACACAAAACGGCGTACTTGTTTGTTCGATTTCGGACCAACCGAGAGAACAATTCGTCCGAAACCTACATGTCCCCGACTTATTGCGATTTCAATGTGCACTCTCTGTGATAATACGCGCAGAGTCACCAGCAGGTGAGCTCCAGAAGAACAATGGTTGGAGAGGTGTTACCCCTAAACCGAAACGAAAACTACCGGTCCATGAAGAGAGAACGTCGGAGGGTAGTGTCGTCCATCATTCCCCAAGAGTAAAGGTGAGGGTGTGGAGGGGACGGGTTTGTCGCCAGCCTGTATCTGCAACGACGGCCATTGGAAGCGACAATCGCGAGCGCTCGGCGTAGGACCCACCGAGAAAGAAGTACACGACCAACTTCAACGTCTTTGCAACCGGAGTCGTGTCGAGCGGTGTGTGTGAAGTGCGCCCTAGTAGAAAGTGTGTGCAGCGGACACTCCCCGCCAAACACCACTTTACTAGTCAAATCACTCGTCTGTGTGGTCAGTGTACGCTACTCTGTCGCTTGCCCAACAAGTCTCGTCGTCCCATCCGTAGGTACGCCGACACACATCTTTAGTTGTTTTGTAGTCAAGGTCCCGTTGCGGTCTCTTATGTAGGTAGCCAACCAATCACAATTAGACGACAAGTAAGCGGCGTACGGTCAATCGTACCGGCAGTGATCTACAGCAGTGGTTTTCAACCAGTGGTACGGGGACAAACTGTCTCGCTCTCGTTCTGTCTCTCGTACCACTCTCGGTTCCACTTTTACTTTTGCGCGCTACCTGTCTCACTCTTTTCCGGCCTCCAGCTTTTCCTGCTGGAACCCGCCGCTTAAAGGTGGGGGTCCGCGGACCGGCCATAGAGCCCATAGAGTTAAAGGTGGTGGACTGTAACCTGTAAAATCCATAGATTTAGGAGGTTCCCTAGTGGCCGTTAGCTGTAAAAATCCATAGATTAGCCGCACCGTTATATAAGCCGCAGCGTCGAAAAAAGGCGCGGCTTATAGTCCGAAAACTACGGTAGTCCTTTCTTCTCACTTACTGTTAGCAGACGCAGTGGAAAAATAAACAATTCTTAAATGTCACAGCATGTAAAAATGATCCAACAGTCAACTATGAAAAAAACACATTGGATTTATGAATGGCCTGACTCTGATGCAATTGGGTTAGAAAGTTGCCCCGCTGTATCATTATTATTATTCCCTGAGTAACCTGTTTAAAAAGTAACGCTGCAGCCCCATATACTCTTTATATAATCCAATACCTCTTTCCTTTCCAGAACCTGATCTCCGCAGCTACCGGCATGAATCTGACCACAGTGGACGACCCCATCCAGAGGAAGTTCCTGCCCAGCTTCCTGCGAGGCGTGGCCGAGGAGAACAAACTTGTCACGTCTCCAAACTTCGTGGTCACTCAGGCTCTGGTGGCCCTCCTGGCAGATAAAGGGGCCCGACTCAGACCTGCCTATGACAAGGCTGACATGGAGAAAAGAGGTTTGTAGACTGAGGGGAACAGAAGATGGTCCTCCATGTTATCCAACTGTCGATGTGCGTTTATTCAACTCGTCTTATTGCAATTATGTTTTATATTGGTAGTATTTATGATAAGTAAGTAGATATAATATAAGTAGTTTTCTTTGCATACTTTACATTTACTCTCATAAGGGTAATTACAAATCTGTAACTAGCACTGCCTTTATTAATTGTGAATATAACTTTACTTTGAACAGTTCCCTGCTCTGGGAAGAATAACAAAAAACTGCATTATTACATTTTGGTGATTCTATCCCATCAGTTTTTTTAACACATATAATGTCAAGGCAATGTTTAATTATGTATTTTTAATCACCTCATGATGATTTTCATGTATTTTTGTAACATATGTAGTTATGGCATAATTCACCAGTAATGTATGCCAGGCTTTCATACACACTTGACTCATGCATCTGCCACCTTGGCACTGCCTCTCTCTGTGTCACTTTTCGGTTTTTTCTGTGCCTTTTTCGTTTTTATGTTTGCCATTTTCATTTCTGTCCCTTCTCTCACTCATCGGGCCATCGTGTCACCTTTTGTTCCGTATCGAGCAGGTCTAATTGCGCAATTATATGCCCATCCTTCCCATAATCCCTCCGCTGTAGGGCCTCTGGAGCTGGCCAACGCTCTTGCGGCCTGTTGCCTGTCCTCCAGGCTGTCCTCGCAGCACCGTCAGTGGGCGGCGCAGCAGCTGGTTCGCACGCTGGCCGCCCACGACCGGGACAACAACAAGAACAGACCGCAGACCTTCGCCGACATGGCTGGGGACCTGCGCAAGTGCTCCTTCATCAAGCTAGAGGCTCACCAGAGCAGAGTGAGTCATTACAGGATTAGGAATGGTTCCCTAGCTTGGTTATAAACTGTTTGGGGTTAAATCAAATCTATGTATTTCCCTTAGGTCATCACATGTGGGTGGTGCAGTAAGAAAGGCCTGTTGGCGACGAGTGGCAATGATGGGACAGTCAGGATGTGGAACGTCACCAAGAACCAGTACACCCTCCAGCAGACCTGCATCTTCAATAAGGAGTAAGTCTTTCTCAAATACTCCAGTCTCTTGTTCTTACTCCTGATACTTTGAAGTGTAAATGAACAGTGCAACAATCAATATTTTTGCATAAAAAATACATTTCTATCGACATTTTGTTGCAAAATCAATATTCTTAGATGGAATCAGAGCAGACTGGGCTCTGGTTTCAGACAGAGGGTGAAAAGAGGGGCTGCAGCACAGGCAGCATGAGACACATAAAGAGCTTTTTGAACATTAGAGCATGGAGACATGTCACAGTAGAGACACTAAATACAAATCTAGGGCTCCTTTTAAAAAAGACCACGCAGAGCTAATAAAAAGTTCATGTTGGGCATACAGTACATTAAAATGAATGCTAACTGCCAAACACTTTGCCCATGAAAACTTTATGAGGTGTTAGTACGTTTAAATATTTCCCATTAACAACTATGAGGTGATGTCCTATTCTTTGACTTTTGTTTTTCCTGCAGCTCAAAGCTCTCTTGTCCTTGGTGTTTATTCTGTTTTATCTCATCAGTGACGGCTCAGAGGAGGGCATGTCAGGTTTAGGATCTCCCAGCGACCCTTGCATGTCTCCTCTGGCATGGAGCGTCACTGGAAAGTATCTGGCTTCTGCCATGGACAAAATGGTCAACATCTGGCAAGTTAATGGTAAGAATGTATCTTTTATAGCTCCTTCGGGGTAACTGCTCTGTTTCAATTTAATTATACGACATGTTAACGATACGCTCCTTTTGAGTTTAATGAGGGAAACTGATCGTAAAATGGTGTGGCCCAGCTTTTTCAGTACTGTGTGAGGTCAGCGGAATATGAATGAGACGGCATTAAGATGTTATAGTTCCCCATTAAAAGTAGATGCTCTGAATGTGCTCCAATGATCACTTCCTTTCCACACACACACACACACACACACACACACACACACACACACACACACACACACACACACACACACACACACCAGCCTGAAACATCTGTCCTCACAAAGTAGGCTAATGTCTTTATCAGATCCAAATCCGTTAGTGT